ACAGCTCTCCTCCACCCCACGGCCCGGCCTGGCCTGGCCTGCCCCTCGCCCACCGCAGCCCCTGCCCCCAGCGAGCCTCACCTTGCCGTTGGTGGGGGGCTCCTGGATGTAGATGTTGCTCATGGTCGGGAAAGGAGCGTCCCGGCAGGTGACCAACCGCCCGAGCTCGACGCTCGGCTACGCTTCACCTCTAACGCTTCCTACCACCCCGAACCTCCCGCCATCTTAGGCGCCTCTATGCAGCCCAGGGAGGTGGGGAGAAGATTGCCCAAGGCGGGAGGAAGGACGAAGGGATGAGTCCCCGATCGGAGTCTCTACGGGAGTCACTGAGGAAGGAAGTCCTTTCGTAAAGACCTGGAGGCTTCTCCAGACACCTGCAGTCCCTCCCCGTGGCTCCCGCTTGGTACTGAGGTCCCCCGTCCTCCCTGTGAGTGGCACGGTCCGAGAGTGCGCCGCGCAAAGCCTTCCGGCGGTGAGAGGGGCCGGTGCAGGCCTGGGCCGGGCCGGCGAGGACGGCGGCGGGAGGCGCCATGGCTCTGCCGGGTAAGGGGCTCTCAGCCGGGTCTGCGGGGAGAGAATGGGCAATAGCTGGCTGACCCCGGGGCTGGCATGTTGGGAAGGGGAAATAAGCGGCGGGTTGACGGAAAATTACGCGGGGAGGGCGCGCGACTGCGCGTCGCGGTGGGAAGCGTGAGGCGGGGAGGGCGGCGGGGTGGTGCATCTCCCTAAGGCCGCAGGGGCTGCCGGTGGAGAAACGTTGCTCAGGTCTGCACAGCCGGTCTTCTAAACCAGCTGGCGTTGGGGCAGCGGGAGAGAGGGAGAGAGGGAGATGGCCGGGGGAGGTGGGGAGGTGTGGTCAGGCCAGCCATTGATGAGCACAGCGATGCAGTCGCTTCCTTCTAGGCCTGTGGGGCGCCTCCCCAACGTTTTGGATGAGTGATGACCACGTGCTACGTTCCTGTCGTCTGTTAGTATAAGCCACCTTCTTTAAACTTAGATCCGAAGAATGTTTGTTGCCAGACTTGGTTTTTCTCCTCGTCTTTTGTTCTGGATTAACGTTTGTGCCCCACTAGATTATTGTTCAAATAGACCCCTTGAAAACGATGGTGAGACAGGACAGGCAGAAATGCTTGCACTATTTGCAAGGTATTTAGATCTATGTTAGCCAAACATACAGCCGTTGCTTCATAATTTTTTCTTGATCTTGAGACATGAGGAGTGTTTCGTTGGAGAACAGCTGAACCAAGCCTGAGCTTTGGTAAGCTTCTTCTCTTAAGAAAAGAGAAGACTTCAATAAGCTTGCTCCCATTCTAGAAGTGGTTCTTGAGAAAGACATCTCATGTTTGCGTTCAAAGGTTTCCAAAACTTTTTTTGCAACCTTGTGCTCCACTGAATGAATGAAGTCCTTAGTAATGGTTGCTGCTGTGTCAGTTGTTAGTTTTCTTGAGGATTAACACCTGGGAAGAAGGGAGTGAGAAAAGGAAGCTTCTAGTAATTTGTTTGCTTTTAATTGTGTAGAACGTCATCTAGTCTAAAACCCTGCTTATAACGTTATTATTTAAAACCAAAAATAATAATGAAATTTCAGTCTCAGGAATTTGGTGGGAGTATTTGTTGACAATATTCTTGTCATCTGCTGGGTGTTTCTATTGGAATTCCTGACAAATGGCACCTGCTCATATTACAGGAGATTTTGTAGCATGTGCATGACTGTACTGACCTCCCTTGCATGGAATACCAAATCTTTCTTTACCTACAGGTCAGTTATGCTGTTGGGCTGAAGTTTACTGAGTATTTCAGAAAGCTGAGACAAAGTAGGTAGCTTGGGTGATCTTGCTTTTCTAGTCCCAAGGTGTAGCGAACAAGCAGATGCTGTTTTGAGTATTTCTTTGACATGACATTGCAAGATACAGGTATACTTTTGTTCCTTGCTTCTTGACACTTTCTTCCATGTTCCCTACCTCCTTACCTCTTGTGGGTTTCCCTCAAAAGATAGTCATAAAACAGGCACCTAAACACTGCTGAGCTTATAGACCTCGAAGGGGATATGTAATACTAAGGTTTTGGCATCCGTAGAAAACCATGTGTCATAATGGAATGTATGTATCTTTATTGCTTAGCTTTCCAGTACTCTTCAGGGCATAGACCAGTGAGTTGTCCAAGTTTCCAAGTTAGTTTTTCAACCGGGGGTTTGACGGTTTCTCTGTTATTTTGCGTAGAATTTTCTAAAGACAGTGCTTGTCTCAGTAAATCAAAGTTTAAATTCATGGAGCCGATGTACCCCTTTTATGGATCTCTAATTTCTGTCATGGATTTCTTGTTATGTTTGCTTAATTATTTATTTAAATAAATGAGCTCGTTTATTCGGAAAACTGTATATGACTGTTTAAGTTGCTGGTTTTTTCATACTGTATTCAGTTGGAAGATAGAAGGGCACCCTTTGATTTTGGAAATTCGGTTGTGACTTTCATTATGAATAGGCTCAGGTGATTAAAAATAAGACCTTATTCTATGATGTTTCCTCCTCCGTTATAGTAACTTTTCAGCATCTTGAACATCCTTGGGTAGTTAAGATACTTCTATTGGTATTTCTTGGAAATATTGTTTCAGTTTTGTCTAAGGTTAATAAGCAATTTAAGAATATCATCCAGAGATCTGCCCCAAGGCTGGATACTGGATAGTTATGAGTGGCAGGATGTGTGGGATAGCATGGGCAAGTACCTAGGCCAATGGGCACCCCCAGTGTTTTGGAACTTCACCCCTGAACAAGTGCAGAATCCGGAAAAATTAGTAGTATATTTGGAAGAAGTATGCTGTCACTCGGGCAGGTCCAGAGACGCAAATCACTGCAACGTGCTGGGGCCTGAACCATGTTGACCGAGCCCTGTTCAACACTATTCAGTACCCTCAAGGGGAAGAGAAGGTCTCTGGATCTGATGTTAAAACGACAGGCCCTGTGGCCACTCTAACCCTGGCAACAGGCCCTGCAGCTGAATCAAAAAAACAACTTGTGCCAGTATCAGTTGCCCCTATACACAAGAAGAAGTGTTGGAAGCAGAAGTCGGCTCATTCAGTAAGGGATGAAGAAACCTCTTCTAAAAGGGAGCTGGAGGAAGAAGTGGATGAGGCAGACTATCCCAGAGTAGGGCTATCACGAAAACAGGAGGAGGAGAGCCAGCCGCTGCCCAGGGAGGAAAAAGAGGAAGAACTCATAAACGAGGCGGTAACCACCCGATCTCCATCCCTGAGTGAGCTGCAAGATATGTGAAAAGATTTCAGCTGTCGTCCAGGCGACATATTGTTACCTGGCTGCTCTGATGCTGGGATAATGGGGCCAGTAGCCTGGAATTAGAGGGTAAAGAAGCCAAGCAGCTGGGATCCCTTTCTAGGGAAGGGGGCATTGACAAAGTGATTGGAAAAGGGACACAAGTCCTCAGCCTTTGGAGGTGACTCCTGTCAAGCATGAAGGAAAGGTATCCCTTCAAGGAAGATGTTATACATCACCCAGGCAAGTGGACCACCATGGACAGAGGTTTCCAGTACCTGAGGGAATTAGCCATGCTGGAGGTGATTTACGATGACCTGAACAATGAGCAGTTATCCAAAGATCCAAACGAAGTCAAGTGCACATGACCCATGTGGCAGAAGTTTGTATGGAGC